TAGAAAATAATGAAATTGTTTATAACTATTCGTGTTAACAAAATGTTTTTGTCTATAATCAGAATTAAATATATCGTCATCATGCTAAAGTATTACAGCATAATGAAAGTTTTTGAAATCAGAGTTGGTATAAAAGCACGCTTTTCAATATAATAGAGAAACAAGCGGAATAACAGCCTACATTTATCTAACTGTCGGACATTTTGTTCAGATCATATATTTTAATTAACTACTGCTTCTTTGTGTTCCTTAAAGATCATTTTTAATATACTGATAGGTATGGGTTAGATCACTGTATTGCTCACACACCTTTTTACTGTCCGGTCACTTTAGGTCAATTAACCAACCCAGTGTATACCTACGTGTGACATTAATGTCGCTCTAAACACTTGTAGTGGTGAGGTGTGGGGGGGGGGGGGGGAGAATAACCAACTCAGAGTGACAATAGCGTCAGTTTTAGATGACTGTTCTAAACATACATATATATTACACATGTATACTGATTCAGAAATAGATTTAAATAAGTAGCAGTGGTATTATGACAATATTTTTTTTACAGAGGGGTCCATGGGGGAGGGGGTTGTAACTGTTTCATATAATTTGTAATCGTATCACTATCGCCCAAACTGTAAGAATATTACTACTTCATCGTGATGACGTTGTTGACCGTGTCAAAATTCCCCCACCGCTACGCAACTTGCCCATAGGTAAATTTAAATAGAGGTGCCACATCAGTTGTATTTGTTTCTGTATTGTAATTTTCAAAAAATTAATCACACGATTCAAACTGTATATATAAAGTAACTATGTGTGAAGTTTTATGTATAACATTTTCTAATGCAATTAATCGTAAGCAAATACATCATACAGTAGCCTTAAACTTAACACCCCTCTTGCCAAGTGGTACTACCGGTAGAGGATTTTTTAAAATTCCAATGCATCGTAATGGTTATTTTTAGAATGGCAAACTGATGCAGCTGTTAATACGTGTTGTAAACGTAGACACTACTTGACTAGTACAATAATGCTTAATTGCTGCATGAAAAGAAATCTTGTGATTTACATAGATGTGCCGACCAAAAATATTTTTTAACAAATATCATTGTTTAAAACTGAGTTTAAAAAGTTTCCAAAAAGGCGCCACTTTGCTGAAAATGGCCAGAGGGGGAGCGGCCGCTCCCCCTGCTCCACCCCTGCGTACGCTACTGGCGTTTATATAGCTACGGTATTGATGTTATGTAGTTCCATCAGTTATTGCTATACTTCGCTCAATCGACTAAGTGCTGCTACCTATGGACACTGCTGATCAGTTTAACTTAAACTTTAAGTTACATAGAGAAAATGAAGCTTAACCAGTAGATCGCAGTAGGTCTATACTTCCCGATTCAGCAAATTTATGTAGCCCTATTTATGTAAAGAGATCGGAACAATGGGCTGACACGGACATAACGCCGATACGGCAAAAGGCATACACGGACAAAAGGCCGACATTGAATAAGGCTGATAAACAAAATATTGATTTCCAGCCTTTTTCCCTAAGTGAAATCATATGGTATGTTTGTGTTGTTAAGTTCACTATAAAACTTCCTTGTTCTTCATAAACTTTATTAATATTTTTTTTAAAATAAAATTATTATTATTCCTACACTATTTTTTGGTAGAAAAAGATACTGAGATAGAAGAAGGGGGAGGGGTTTATGCCTTTAAAATTAGCTAATCACTTTTACGTGTAAAACAAAGAAATTAAATTTTATAATTTACGCGTGGTTTACACAGTATCCAATATGACGTTTATCTTATCGATCAACCTTATTGCTATTGATTTTGCTTACTGGCTTCTTCTGAGATCAATACAGCCGTATATAAATTACTTTAGCAGTTTTGGTAGCTTTCTTTATCCTCGGTGATTTATTTAACCATTCTCACATGCATACTTAAAGAAACGTGGGCAGAGAACTCATGTTTAATTCAACATTATTATACGCGGCTTTTTCTGTTAACGGTAATCAATCACCGTAAGATAATTAACATTATTGCGTTTTAAAAAATATAAAAAGTTAATTGGCATCTACGTGTTATTTAAATTGTATCACGGAAATTATATTTTACTTTGAAGACGTTGGTAGGCCGATATTTATAAGGTCAGTTATTATAATATATCATTATCCTTGTTAATATTATTTTGAAAATAAACAGAAATGTAGCCTTTCAAGGGGCTGGAAATAAAACAAAAAGTAGCTATTCTCTTAACTCAACTGGTTTTAAGCTCAAAGTAGTTATATTTCTAATTCTGTCAGCGTTTTGCTTAAAGTAGCTGTACTTCTAACTCTGTCAGAGTTTAGCTCATAGAAGCTGTATTTCTAACTTTGTTTAGCTCCAAGTAGTTATACACCTTACTCAGTCAATATTTAGCTCAAAGTAACTATAGGCCTACTTCTAATTTTACCAGTGCTTAGCTCTAATTAGTTATACCCCTAACTCTGTCAGCATTTAGCGTAGAGTGGCTTACTTTTAACTTTATTACTGGTTTGCTCAAAGTAGCTGTACCTCTAACTCTGTCAGTGTTTAGCTCAAAGTAGTTATACTTCTCACTCTATAAGTGTTTAGTTAACTGAAAAGTAGCAATATTTCTAACTCGTATTAATAAAACTGAGTTTGTCCAAAAAAACGCTGAATATTTTACAACAAAAAAACTGATAAACTCTACTTTCACTGCCTTATTGCAATCAGAGGGGGAACTTTTATTACGAAAAGTGATTAAAAAAGCACCGATATTCTACATTTTCCAAAAAAAATAATAATAATAAGAATAGAAAGGGATTATTATTCCTTCAAGTCTAAATCCAACCTTTTTTTTATCTTTCCCAACAGACGTCTTAGTAATATAGTTATTACTGTAAATCTGAATTAGTAATTAAACAGATGTTTAATTAATGTTTACAGCGCTGTAAATATGAGCAGTATAAAATTCCAAGTCACACAAGTAAGACTGTTATTGATCTACCGTACTTTATTTTCAGTCTTCCTGTTTTCTCCCCGTGAATCTAACGGTGTAAACTAGTATGAAAGGTAAACCGCTGAATGCATTCAGTATTGATGTTCCTGTATGTGGGACAAGCGGTAGAGATCGTATGTGTAGCTGTCAGTCATTCAATCGATCAATCGATGAATCATTAAATCAATCAAACTTCTTCTTCTTCTTCAGAGGCGTAGCGAACCTTCCCGGCGCCCGTGGACAAACTTTTCGATTTTCACCCCCCCTTCGAGATTTCGATTTGCACCCCCCTCTAACTTTCGATTTGCACCCCCTCCCCCTCGACATTTCAATGTGCACCCCCCCCCCTCAAACTTTCGATTTGCACCCCCCTCAACCTTTCAATTTATTTTTCCAACCCATTTTGGCGCCCCCCGCCCCCCCCCCCCCCCCCCCAACTACGCTACTGTTCTTCTTCGTTCATAATTTTTAGTGTTGGAAGGGATCGAGCCTTATCTGCCTGAGGGTTTGAACTCAAGACTTTTTCGAATTTATCCACCATGAGATTTTGTCGACTCGACCACGCCTCCATCACAATTAAGGATACGTGTCAACTAGTTATGCGCCATTGAGGCCATTGACTCCGATTTCAGCTTGCTTTTCTTTTTGGATTTGCTACCATAGCCTTTGTCCAACCAAGAACAAACTACAAGGCAGCAGTTGTTTGATTTTGGAGTTGTCTCTCCTAGAAGAGTGGCTGTCCCCAGCTAACGAGCCTTGTCTGCCCAAAATCAATCAAACAACATTTCACTCACTTTCAAACTTAGATTCACCCTCAGTCAAACATACTTAGCACATTCCTCGTGTCGTTCGAATTTCGATTTTAGTTTCATTTGTTTAATCAATCTCAACTCCAATCGTAAAATTTGAAACAGTTAACGAAAATAACTTTAAAATCCAACACATATAACCAAAAATCGATACAATCACAAATAGTTGGGGGTCGGCGTGGTCTAGTCGGTAAAGCTCATGGTTGCTAAACCGAAAAGACTCGAGTTCGAACCCTCGGGCAGATGAGGCTCGGTTACCGGATATCGCTAAAAATTTGATACAGAACTACACATTTGATAAAATAATTTATATAATATTTCTTCAACCCAGTCGTAACGGTACTCAAGTTATCGTGTTCACAGACACAGATACACACACACACACAGACACACACAAATATACACACACAGACATACGGGAAAAATTGCAAAATTATGGTTTCCGACTCTGTGATGTGTAAAACATCGAGATTTGTAAAAATCTCAATTCATATTTTTTGCCCGATTACAATACTTCCTCTATTCTTCGTATACGAGAAAGCAAAAATACTGAAACTTTGTACAAGAAACACTGGTCAGGGATATTTAAATGCATCAACGTGTTTACAAAAACAAAAAATGAAAAAAAATCAATCTCAAGTTTTGTTTCGCCGTGTTTACATTTTTGTTTTAAATTTCACCATTTGAAAACAAGCCAGACCCTCGTTTGAGACCGTGAAATAGACGTCACGCAAAGAAAACACTCGACTGAACAAAACGCTTCAGTGGATTTGACAAGCAACTCAGAAATTTGACCACGGAAAGGATTTAGGTTTTTGTCAACATGAATACTTGCTACATTTTCCTTTTATACCGAGAACTGTAAAGCTTTGTATAAAATTGGACGCCGGGGTTCTTAATACTATAAAACCAACACTTGGATTTGACGCGTTGGGTGAAAATAGGGGAGATTAATCTGAGTGAAAGGTCTGTCAAATGTCTAAAGGAGTTCTGGCACTTGTTTTGTTTAGGTTTCATAGTGGAAATATAAGCTAGAATTAATGGCGTTTTAAAAGAGGAAAAGTAAAAATACTTTCAGGCTAGAAGCGGGACTTGAAATTGCGGGCTATTGGTTTTTTTTTTTTTTTTTTTTTTTTTATATTTCAGTGTTGACATTTCGCGGTGTGGTGATTTCAGTGGCTATCAGTTTTGAGCGTGGCGCGAGGTGTGATTAGCGTGGCGTGGAGAGGTTAAAACGAACGTCATTGCATGAAAAGATTTGATGTGGTTGTACGTAGGTTAACTTTTGATTACAAGATTAAACGGATATGTGTAAATTTAGATGTTGATTTCTATTTACAGTGTAAGTAAAAATGTTATGTTGATTTAGTAAAATTTTATGGTTAAATTTGCAGTTGAAATAAATGTATTGTATCCTACTACGCCTTGGAGATAGACGAGAGAAAAAGTAAACAGACGAATTGTGTATTGTTGACGACTTAGTCAATGACAGCCTCTGTACTGTGTCGGCTTTTTGATTAGATAATATGTTTATTATGTAAAGAACGTGGTAAATGTATACAGTTAATGCGGTGAAAGTATTGTATGGATGAATTTAGGAGAGCAAATCATATTAACTATTTCTTCCCATTTCACGCTAATTCAAGCTTAGTGTTAAAAAAAAACGATGAAAACTGAGTAGGTTGGAACATTCTATTAAATTATAATTAATTCTATTAAATGTTGTAAATAGTACAGAATTAAATGTACATAGATCTACTCCAGATTAAATATATTTTCACATGCTATACATATTACCATATTAATGCAACCTAAGCACAAATATCTACTTATTTAGGCCTACTTGACATTAATTAATTAATCGTATATTGATTTGTACGTTCTGAACACTTACTACATAAAAGTATTAACGAATTCCACGCAAAGACACATTGGGACATTTTTTTTCTGTGTCCTTATTTCTTGCAAATTTTTTCTGTGTCCTTATTTCTTGCAAATTTTTTCTTGTGTCTTTATTTTTGTGAAATTTTTCCTTGACGCGTGTGGTCAGGTGATAAAAATTATATTCACAAACCTAAAGAATTAGGGTCAATGTATGTTTTTTGTGTGGAGTGAGTTTCATGTGAATGTGTTTAAGTCTGATTGATGAGGCGTATGTCATAAGATGTGAAAGTTGACAGCATATGGCATATGAACTATCCACTTGAGTTTCCATCCAACATATGATAAGAATGGATATTTCACGGATCAAAATTGCTCCATTAAAACTAGATAAAACAACATAATGTACACACTACAACTTTTATAGATTAAAATATCGATTCCTATGCTATATTCTTTTTGAAATCTAAATTTCTCAACGTAGAGAAGTAAATATTGGATATTAAATACGTAACCAATATTTGTATGTATGTCATTTTTTATATTTCAGTATTATAACACACAGAAGAAAATGTAAAGATTTTATAATAGTTTTTGGATAAGTGTTGTGCTAAAAAGAAACACACAATTTAGTAGATGCTTTAGACTTATAACAAGCAAAATAACAAACCATTTTTTTAGTAATGCGGGTAGTCAGCTAAGAGCAAAATGCAGTGATTAAACTCAAAGTATAAATTTCTGACAGTTGATTGATTCAAAATAAGAAAATGGTATTAGACGCTTGACTCTTTCAATGGAAGTGATGTTCTAGGTTAGTTAAATACTTAACTTTAAACTGAAACGAAACAAAACAAAAACTAGATGGAGAAGGGCGAGTTTATCTTCGGCGTGAGGCCAGAATGTTTATTTATCAACACGCAACTCGGCAACAGGAATCCGTTTCTGCGTGACGTCACTAAACCAAATGAAAATCCTGGCATCCCCAAACACCTACAGAGCCTGTACGACTTCAAAGACTTCGCCAAATACCCGGATGCGTACTGGAAGCTCCGCGAGAGTCTGGAACCGGACGTGATGGAAGCCAGCATGATTGACCGAGACCTGTACCGGAAGCAGCAGATCTCCAGCCTCAAGCTGACCACCATGGACAGGACGCCGCCCTCATCACGTGACCCGTTTATCAAATGGCGCGGGAAAGCCGGAGACCCGTTGTTTTATCCCCGGAAACAGACGGCCCATCATGTCAGGCGAGCCAAGACAAGCTCTCCTCATAGGGCAGGTGGTAGCTCTAAGACCAACACTCAAGCCGACGCTACATCGCAGCTGGAAATCAACGCCAAGTCATACCATAACGCCAACAACAAACACAACACGATAGTACTCGAGTCGGTGTCAGCTCTGGCTAAAGACACAGAGACAGACAGCGTGTTCACGCAACCTCATTACCCTAGCCCGGGCAGAAGCGAAGTCTTAGAAACGATGCCGGCGCTTTCTCAAACCTGGACTAGCCGGCAGAATTTGAAATCGTACGACGTTCAAGCAACAAGCACTACCTCGCTTGCTAGTAACCTACTCTCAAAAACGAATTCCGACACCCGGAAGTTTCCCATCAAACCTTCTGTGATCAGCGTAGAGTTGGACCCACCTGATTCCTTCAATAGACCTAGGCTCTTCACCCAGAGAAGTCGAGCTCCAAGCAACGCGTTCTCAACAACTCGCGCTGAGGAAGCATCAACTACTCACACCACGCCTGCCCGACGGATAAAAACAGCCAGCACCTACACGACAGAACCCGACATTGAAGCACATTCCGACCCTGAAACTGTAACTTTAAACCATTCCACGGCTGACTTTGAACTTGCAAATGGAGTTACTCCATCTCCTGAAAATATTGAAGAGGCATCATTGGTTATCGACACCCACGCCCAAGTTAGTACAACAAAGAATCAAACATCTGACAGCACAGTACACGACACCGCAGGCACGTCACCCTCAGCTCTGGGGTTCAGACCTAGACAATCACCCGTCCCCCTGAAGACGCTCCACTTAGAGATGTTTAAGCCAACTGACACAGGGAAGGCAACGCCCCAGCAACAGACAGTAAGCCAGGAAGCTGGTGGATACAAGTAAGATGCTTGAGATACTTTTAATTTGTTAGATTAGGAGACACTGTTGGAGAAAAATTAAAAATTGCTAGATTAGGAGATATTGTTGGAGAAAATCTTTAAACTGCTAGATTAGGAGATATTGTTGGAGAAAATCTTTAAACTGCTAGATTAGGAGATATTGTTGGAGAAAATCTTTAAACTGCTAGATTCTGAGATATTGTTGGAGAAAATTTTTAAACTGCTAGATTAGGAGATATTGTTGGAGAAAATTTTTAAACTGCTAGATTAGGAGATATTGTTGGAGAAAATTTTTAAACTGCTAGATTAGGAGATATTGTTGGAGAAAATCTTTAAACTGCTAGATTAGGAGATATTGTTGGAGAAAATTTTTAAACTGCTAGATTAGGAGATATTGTTGGAGAAAATCTTTAAACTGCTAGATTAGGAGATATTGTTGGAGAAAATCTTTAAACTGCTAGATTAGGAGATATTGTTGGAGAAAATTTTTAAACTGCTAGATTCTGAGATATTGTTGGAGAAAATCTTTAAACTGCTAGATTAGGAGATATTGTTGGAGAAAATCTTTAAACTGCTAGATTAGGAGATATTGTTGGAGAAAATCTTTAAACTGCTAGATTCTGAGATATTGTTGGAGAAAATTTTTAAACTGCTAGATTCTGAGATATTGTTGGAGAAAATTTTTAAACTGCTAGATTAGGAGATATTGTTGGAGAAAATCTTTAAACTGCTAGATTAGGAGATATTGTTGGAGAAAATCTTTAAACTGCTAGATTAGGAGATATTGTTGGAGAAAATTTTTAAACTGCTAGATTCTGAGATATTGTTGGAGAAAATTTTTAAACTGCTAGATTAGGAGATATTGTTGGAGAAAATTTTTAAACTGCTAGATTAGGAGATATTGTTGGAGAAAATTTTTAAACTGCTAGATTCTGAGATATTGTTGGAGAAAATTTTTAAACTGCTAGATTAGGAGATATTGTTGGAGAAAATTTTTAAACTGCTAGATTCTGAGATATTGTTGGAGAAAATTTTTAAACTGCTAGATTAGGAGATATTGTTGGAGAAAATCTTTAAACTGCTAGATTAGGAGATATTGTTGGAGAAAATCTTTAAACTGCTAGATTAGGAGATATTGTTGGAGAAAATTTTTAAACTGCTAGATTCTGAGATATTGTTGGAGAAAATTTTTAAACTGCTAGATTAGGAGATATTGTTGGAGAAAATTTTTAAACTGCTAGATTAGGAGATATTGTTGGAGAAAATTTTTAAACTGCTAGATTCTGAGATATTGTTGGAGAAAATTTTTAAACTGCTAGATTAGGAGATATTGTTGGAGAAAATTTTTAAACTGCTAGATTAGGAGATATTGTTGGAGAAAATTTTTAAACTGCTAGATTAGGAGATATTGTTGGAGAAAATTTTTTAACCTCTAAATTAGCAAGTATAATAAATAATCTTCTAAAGTGTAGAAGATTTTTAGTTAATCATATCTTTGTGCTGGTGCAGTTTTACTATAATCTTGTTATTTATATTTAGTTCACAATGTCTGTTAGTTTGTGGAATTTTGGCAAAACGTGTAATTCATTTTGACCTACTTTTAATGCAGCGATTTCGTTCAAACTTTCCAGATACATTCGTCTCCTATGAAATTGCCAAAATATATTTGATGTAATTAGAGAGATTACTCTTTAAAATTTAGTTAAAAGATTATTAAATTATATAATAAAAGGGGAGATGGCAGGATTAAATACTATTAAATTCCACGATCATCTATCCAATGACAGTACATTTTTTTTTCATGGCTAATTGTTTTTTTCTCTTAGAAATATTTTCTTTGACCTGATGATGGGGATCTAATGATCTCTCTCTCTCAGCAGATTTGGAACTTATTACTGCGTGTAAAATAAATAGTTACCCTTTCAGCCCATGGTGCAGATGAAGTAGAGTTCACCTGACTCTGCACAAACGCCTTTGCTTGCCTTATTAGAAGCCAGGTATCCATCAGAGCTGAGTAGAGCCAGAAAAGCTCAACAGAGTTAAGCCCTGTATGCGAACACGAGACTTCCGGGTTGGCTATCATACGTTCTACTATCCGACCACGCCGTCCCTATGCAGAAGAAAGCAAGAATTAAATAAGAAACGTGAATGTCACGAATTTAGGCGTGCTAATTGAGGAGTACTTTTGCAAAACCGGCTAAGTCACTTCTGACTGATTTTGAGGAAATCGACTTTATAACTTTTTTTCTTTTTAACTAACCTTGTGGTTATTTTTATATTTTTCCGTTAAAAAATATTTTATATAAAGCCTTTTAGAACAAAAATTATTTTTACAGCCTTAATTGCCACTTAATTAAGAAGGCTATAAGAATAACTCAATTCTTTTTTTCAAAAAGCGAAATTTATTCTGGAATAGTAGGCCCTACTCATTAATTTTAACTTTATAAACAACTTCTACAGCTGTTAAAGAATATCCATTAAAATATTCCAGACTTGACATTGTCAACAGTCCAGCACCGAATGACCCTGAGGACGTAGACAGCAGACGACCACCACTGCCAGAAAACGAGGAGCATGTCTGCATCCTCAACAAAAACGCCTTCGCTTACAGGAAGAACTACGTCAAATCCGGGAAAAAACACAGGAAGAATTCTCGCCCTTCCAAGTCAGCCAACAGTGTCTGCTTGAAAATCTCCGCTTGTTTCTAACAGAGACAACTCATTTTAATTTTTCAACAGTGCTGTCCCTTGATTTGTGAGCGAGTGACCGATTATTTAAAGAAAAACAATCAGAACAATATTATTCTTATATAATACCGGTATTCATATTTTTTAGATATTTCTAGTTTTAATTTTTTTTCTTTGAATAAAACAGTCAATTAAAACATTGTAATTTCACGCTTTGGGTCTATTAATCAAGTGCATTTGAGAAGAAAATTCAGTTTTAAAAGCTAGTAAATCTAAACGTGGGGTTTTAGTATTTTACTGGTACTAGTAGATTTAATCTCCATCCAAGATTTAATCCGTGTAAATGGTCTAATCCCTGTCTGTAATTTAATAAATGTATATTGGTTAATCTTTGTCCACGATTTAATCCATGTTTATGGTTTAATCCCTTTCTACGTTTTAATCCATGTCTCTGGCTTAATGCAGGTTCACTTTAAACCAGTGTTTGTTTTTAATCCTTGTCTATATTTAATCAATGTTTGTTTTAATTACCCGTTCATATTTTAATTACTGCTCATATTCCTAACACTTTTATCCTCTACTATGCTGTCATATCCCCCGTGTTTCAATATCTGTTAACACTCTGACCTCTGAACCCCGTGCTGTGATTTATGTCAACACGAGTTTGTATTACTGTCAACACTGTGACACATGGTTTAATAACTGTCAACAACTCCTACCCACTAATAGTTCAAGTCAATATCACTTTTCACGACAATAATTTAATCAATGTTATTTACTGTTGTATCAAAACAAATTAAAAAAACAACGCTTTCTTTTTAAATTTATTAATGGAACGTTAGAAAATAGAATGTAGAATACAACGAAAAAAAAATTAAACAATGTAAAAAGTAAAACAAAAAATATGACAGTTTTGAAAACAAAGCTTTGTAGATGTTGATAAAAAAAATCAACACAGCAGAAATGATTAAATTCATTCTACAACGAAACAAAATAAGAAAAAAAAATATCCCCAGAGAACGACAGAATACTGGAGATGAAATGAACAAGTAATTAAAAATGTATAAAAAAAATATTTCAGAGAATGAAAAACATCTACATAATCGGTTGTTAATATTTTAGACACAATATGTAGTCTATGTATGAGTACATGACATTTATCTACAAACAATAATTATAAAAACGAATATTTTATAATGCAATGGAGTAATTTATAACGTGAATGATTTTCATAAAACGGTAACTATTCTGACATACAAACAACAACTAGAACTCTGTTCAGCTATGCTAAGAAGAACAATAACTCCTCTCTGTTATATTGCTATACTAAGAAACGTAAAAAAATAGAAGTTGGCTTGAAAATAGTTTCCAGTGAATTTTGTCTAGCAAGATATCGCTGGTCTGTATCTCTGAAAGTTTTATAACTTAGAAAACAACATTGTAATAAATAGCATGCTACTTATGCTCTAAAATGGTTATCGTAAAAGAAGAGCACTGATTGACTGTACATTTTTAACTCACACCCTATTTATTATATATTAATATGGTCCATGTGGGACCCCTGTTAAGCAGATGAAATACTTACCTCGATTATTGTAACCTTATCTCTAAGCAACATTTAGATTAAATGTGTTCATTTATTGTCATGAACACATTTATTAACTAGCTTTTAGTTCATTAACCTTGAGTTGGAAAAAAAAAGACTCCGATTTATCAAAGGCACGTAACCCAATAACTTCCTGCTAAATGTCGAGCTAACTGGTGTTTGCAAACTGAATATCAAGATTTTTTAATGTAAAAATAAACTAAAGATTTAGAAATTAAAAACCAATGTAAACTGTCTTCCTCTCATTAATTATAACGTATCACACACCAGCCAGCATTCTAATAAATTAAAACAAGGCACGCAATTTGTTTCAGTTATTCTACTCCAAGGGAATTAATCCATGATTGAGCGGGGTTTGCCCATGTTGATACCGGACTGGTTCGCTCCCTTGTTAGTGCCGTACTGTAGGCTGACTGTATTTTTAGCCTCCAAGAGTTGTTCCTCCGTGAACTGGCGTTCGTTTTTCTCCGCCATTTTGGGTCCCAGTTGCGGGCCCTTGTAATCTGGTCTGAGCTGTGCCTGCAATTAACGAGTTACACTTTCTTAATTAATGAACACACGATTGAACACGAGAGTATCGAGTTGTATTCCATGACCCAACATCACACACAGGGGCCCGAAGAATGCCTTACAAGAGACCGATGCTCAGAAGTGCCCACACAATTCCACACTTCGTATAGTAGTTGAAATATACTGCATTGTCTTACATATAGACTTCTTTTAAAATAGCGATATCCTTAATTAATCTACAAATAATCGTAAAGATTTTCTGGATGAGCAGTACAAATAATCGAAATAATTAAAGCCTTAAGTACACTAACCCTTGCAGTTGATACTAATTTTAACATTGATTATTAGTGTGTATTTTAGTTATAGTTTATACCTGTTCACCACCCCTACGTATCACCTACCCCAACCGACAAACCAGGCTCCACCTAATGTAGTAATACAAGATATTACATGGCCAAGGGCATAACACAGATGAAAAAAAATCAGACGAATCTGGGCAAGGGCATATCACGACAGAAAAATCAACTTATGACTCTGTTTCAGGGCATAATACTCAAAATCAAGTAGCCTACAAATGTGTCCAAGGCATATTTTAAACAAGTTAATTAAAAAGTCTAGTGACAATTTTAGCGCAATTTCCTTATATCGAACCTCAGGTTATTAATAGGGTACAAAATAACGTTTGATTTAATAAGTAAATTAAATCGAGATAAATCATATATTGAGCAAATAAATAATGCAACACAAGTAGTTTTAATAATTCAAAACAAAATAGAAAAAATATTTATTAACGAGATTTAAAAAAAAATCCTTTCGAACCTCCGCTCATTCGCTATGGTAAAATCCTTTCGAACCTCAGCTTATTAATAGGGTACAAAAATAACGCTTGAATTAATAAGTAAATTAAATCGAGATAAATCATATATTCAGCAAATAAATAATGCAACACAAGTAGTTTTAATAATTCAAAACAAAATAGAAACTAGCCTCCCGTATCAGTCGAAAAAAAGGGGAGAGTAGCCTCCCGTATCAGTCGAAAAAAAAGGGGAAAATTTTAAAAAATCCTTTCGAACCTCCGCTCATTAAAATCCTTTCGATCCTCAGGTTTTGCGCTAAAAACCTACAAGACGCTCAGTTTAAAAATTCTCAATTAATTTTTTTGTGACCGAACGAAAGGATATTTTTGAAAACTTTCTTCGGCAATATTGGTTTAAATTATGGCAGGAATCGATTGGTAAATGTTTCAAGTCGCTAAGTGGTCTGGTTGCCGAGATATGGAGCAAAAACTGAATTTGTTCGAGGTTTTTTGGCTTTTCCGGGAAATCCATGAAAGAAACCCGGAATTTTTATGGCCTATGTTCATCCTCGTAAATTGCTTAACATAATTGCTTTTGGAACTAGTCATCGATATTGCTTCGTTGAGGAGGAGATACGACTTAAAGCTGCGGACACACATCCATCCATCCATCCATTCATTCATACATCCAGAAATGACGGGTTAATAAACGCAATTCTCCAGAATGGAAATTGCGCTAAAAATCAACTTACGACTCTGCCCGGTGTGGGTCTAGTAAACATGTAGTCTGCCCCAGTCCACATTAAAGTTAAACAAATGAACTTACTACTCTGTCCAGGGCATATTAAAGCTTAAAAAAATGAACTTACGACTCTGCCGATGACATATTATTAAAATGAAAAAATCAACTTACGACTCTGCCCAGAGCGTGAATACACAAGGTAACTTGTGGAATATTTTTCTTCTCCCAGAGGTCCACAGTCTGGAACACCTCGTTAGCCGGGACACCCCACTGTTTGGCTGCAGCCTGTGGATTAATGGATTAAAGGGTTAGAGGATTAAATACTGGCTAGTAGCAGGGACATCCACTGTTTTGCTGCAGCCTGTGGATTAATGGATTAAAGGATTAGAGGATTAAATACTGGACATTAGCAGGGACACCCCACTGTTTGGCTGCAGCCTGTGGATTAATGGATTAGAGGATTAAATACTGGACATTAGCAGGGACACCCCACTGTTTGGCTGCAGCCTGTGGATTAATGGATTAGAGGATTAGAGGATTAAATACTGGACCGTGGCAGGGACACTGCACTGTTTGGCTGGAGCCTGTGGATTAATGGATTAAAGCAGGGGTCTCCAAACTACGGCCCGCGGGCCAGATACGGCCCGCGACGTCATTTCATCCGGCCCGCGACGATCTTTTTGTCCACTGAATACATGTTTGTTAGAGGTGACTGAGGAACTTTGCACAGAAAATTCAAAACAATTTGAAAATGTAGCTTAGTGTTAAAGTACTATTGCCCGCCGTGTTGCAGACATTGGTGAAAACATCGTGACTCAAATAGCGAAAAATGCACGCAAGCTTCGCCATTTTTCATTTGCAATGGTTGAGTTGCTTGACAGTTGTTCCACCTCAACTTCTTGTGTTCATTAGAGGTGTGGATGAAGACATGAACATAACACAAGAGCTGGCTTCCCTACATAGAATGTATGACATATCTTACCATAGATAGTTCAGAGACAAACACAAAATAGCAAGATTGATCATATTTCACATCAGTAAGATGTCTCATTTTTGCGAGAAAGTTCTGAGCAGAATATTTAAATTAAGAAAAAAATAGGTGACTTCCTGAAAGTAAAGGCAAGCCACAGCCATTATTGTCTGATGAAGAGTGAACAACTTGACACACTTTCAGCAGTGCAAGGTCTTAACGGCTGAAGCAAAACCACTGAGTTCCCCACGTCATTTACATACGAGATCAGCAAAGACCTCCAGCTGCAGTTTCAGTAGCGGTTCTCTTACTTGGATTCAAAGGCAGAAGAAGTGTGACTGTTTCAAAACCCATTTGAAGCAAATGTGGCCAGTTGCAAAGATGAACTGCAGCGGGAGGTAATTGAATTGCAAGAAAATGACTTCCTTAGAGACACGTTCAAAGAAGAGCAGATGGGTTTTTATAAGTTTTTGCACAAGGAAGACTTTCCTAATATTAAAACTTTTGCATCAAAGTACCTTTTAAATTTTCGAAGAACATACCTGTGTGAACAAACATTTTCAAGAATGAAATACGTTAAGAATAATTTGAGAGCAGAGCAAACTTGGACCTCGAGTGTGATGTCGACCACCGAAAGTGTTTCTTCCAGACTTTTTACTACGGCGGGGGGGGGGGGGGGGGGGATTGGGGTTGGACACTTAAAATGTGTATATGTTTCTATACCTTAAAGAAACTCTGGCCCCCAAACTGATATTTGATAGTTAATGCGGCCCTCGGGCTGAAAAGTTTGGAGACCCCTGGATTAAAGGATTAAATGAAGAAAGAAAATACTTGACAGTAGCACAGAGGCCTACTGCTTTGCGCAGCGTATGTTCATAAAAAACTGGACATTAGCAGGAACATGTCATAGTTTGACTGCAGCATGTGGGTTGAAGGATTAAATGATCAATAGATTACAGGATTATATATCTGGACATTAGCATGCACCCCTTTTTTATTTGCAGTTTCTTTAAGGCGTTTCTACCTGGGTGGTGGGGATGGACACCGCTGAAAAAAAATTCTATAGAAAGTAAATACTTTAACCCCCCCCCCCCCCTACCAGAAATTGAAGTGCTCCCTCCCCTCCCGAAGGTTTTAAGTGCCACCCCTTCCCCCCCCCCCCCCCCCCACAGGCAAAATAAAAATAAGTCTGAAACACTGTGTCTGGACATCAGGATTATAGGAGAAGATTAACAATTTTAAATACTGGATATTATCAGGTATTGTTTGTCCAAAATATCTGACCTACACATGCAAATAAAGAATCGACATTCTAAAAAAATATGAAAAGTTTTATCTGTAGATAGCTGTGATGTTAATTATTTACGCAAGCGCCAATTGCTGTCAGTGGTTTATTTAATTTAATTTAATGTTTCATGCATGTTTTGTTTTGGATCGTGAGTGATGGAAATGTTAGGCTCAGTGGACGTATTTGCATGTCTAATTAAAAACTAATTAAAAACAACTTTCACTGATTTATCCTAAATATTGACAAAAATATTATTATTTCTTTTTATCCATGCTCAAAATCGAGATCAATAACTCATGACCTGGAGTTATTAAAAAAATGTTCTAGAATTTATTCTGATGTTGACTGACATACATTAGGCTATTTGTTGGTTTTGTTAAATTTCTATTTGCTGTGATTGTGATTGCGCTAGTGAATTCTCATTTAGCCTTTTAAAAACTTGTTATGTCCTGATAGTTTTCTTGTTAGTCATATTGAAAACTCGTTTAATTGAGGTGAGATAGATTTTAAAATTATTTTCCCAGGATTATTTTAATTATTTCATCGGTTGGCTATTTTGTAATTTAATTTTTAATTATTTCAGTCTACAAAATCTTTTAGCTGAGCGAAAAGATTGGCTGATGTAATCGTGTAGATCTTTTACTTTTTTTTATGACAAGCTGACGTCACTGCAAGCGTCCTGGATATTCCTGTAAATAGGCGATAAATACATTTCAAAATGCGACACCATGTTTCTCTCAAGGGAAGTAAACAAAAAGATAAATGTAAGGGAGGTAAACATGCAAGGACGTGTAGGGGAGGTAAACATGCCGAGTTGTGTGTCTGGAATTGAGTATTGTGCGTGCAGGCGTACACGCCCAGCTGGCTCGGTGCCACCAGGGGCTAGAGTTACAGTTGGCGCGGTTTGTTAGGTTTTAGCATCATTTCCCAAAGACGTGATTATCTGTTGTTCGTATTAAGCAGGATATCATTACGTCTGCACAAGACGTAAAAGACATTTGTTCTCTTGGAATTAACGTTTTTAACGTCATGAAAATTTGTTAGCTTTTTTAGATAAATAATCTGGCCCTGAAATTGAATATAATGAATAAAACAATTACAGAAAAATAGTCCTTTATCATAATACAATTTTAAATGTACTAATAACAAGAAAATACAACTAACTTTCTTTAGTAAAAATATCGTTCGCTTAAAAATCTCTTACTGATTTCATATTATTAGTTACCCGACACCAACAATATTCAAATTGTTTCCGTTAAACGCAGTCAGAAATTCTATACGTTAATAATTAGATACTAGAGCCTCTTAAATTTTCAATTTTTATTCACTTCAAGGGCGATAACCAGACAAAAGGTTAGGGCGGCTTGACTGAAAATTTTGAAATTTTAAACATTTAAATGCGGAAGTTTAAGGGAAACTGTTTAATTTAAAAACTAAACGCAGTAGTTTATTTAAGAACTTTTAAAATACCTTAAACTTTGCTTTAAATATAAACCTTGATCTCTTAAAATTGGATCACATCATTTAAATTATTTTTTACCTGAAACTAGTCTGGTTTTGATCTCGAAATACCCAGAGGCAGGGGTGGACTGGCCCGCCTGTCTACCGGGGAAAATCCCGGTGGGCCCGCAGGTAAAAAAAACCCAGTAAGGGGTGGGGTGGGGGGGGGTCTCAAGGATCTGTGCTATACTAGACCCATTAATGTTTTGACATTTTTAAAAAATTTAACTTTCGCGTAGATTTTAATCAAGATTTGGATTATCGACAGGCCTTGTTTGGGGAAAATACACAATAGAAATTTTAATCTGAGGTTGGGGAGTCCCCTTGTAAAATTTCCCGGGGCCTCTATGGCACAGCCAGTCCACCCCAGGCCAGAGGTGTGAAACAACTCACACCCTTGTGATAGAATGTTATAATAAAACATACATCAGGTTCTAATCTAATTTAACAAAACAAAAAAATATCAGAAACATATATATATATATATATATATATATATATATATATATATGTAACTAGGGGAAGTTACCAGAGACATAACGCAGTACAGCGCTGTCAACTTTGACACGACTGATGCAATAACACAGGTGTTGGCTGATAACGATCAGAAAGCCAAGGCGTAGTATCTTGGGAAGCGATACGATAAGAACGCAATACGGTCTGTCAACTTTGATGTGACAGGATGCAGATGGCTTATTAAATCGGACTGTACGACAGAAGCGGCGTAATTAACATTCTGATGCAACGATTAGAATCGATTACGATTACGATTATGATAGAACCGAATACGATTACGAATACGAAGGGGATATATAGGAAGGCGACGGCTGAGCTCGGGGGCGGCTCTCTCTCTCGATCAGTCAGTCAGTGAGGCAGTATCAAGTTGGTTATTGAACGGGTTAGCCGTATTGTGTTAAGAAGGACGATAGACATGTGCATTCAGTTATGTGAAGACTAGTGAGGACTGTTGGGGGTCAGTTGATTCAGACTATTATTGTGAAGCATTCCTTTTGATTCATTATATTATTGTGAAGCATTTCTTTGATTCATGTAATAAAAGGATCAATAGCGAACCTGCATCTTCGAGTATCTATACTGTGGTCGATGTTGTGTAGAATGAGTGGTTAGACTCGGTAACATTTGGCGTTGTCGAGCAGAACTCGTTAACATTTGGCACTACAGGCAAATAGTCTCGTTACATTTGGCGCTGCGGACAGGATGAATTCAACTAGACTTGCCGCTTGAGGCACCCATAGTCAACCTTGTTCATAACTGTGTTTCGTGTGTGTGTGAATTCGGACATTCAGGAACAGTGAAAATTGAGGAACGAGGAAAATTTTTCATACACACACGGTAAGAAAGAACTCTTTTTTTTTACTCAAGGAATAAAATGTCTACTCTGGACGAGAAGCAGACCCATATTGTGGTCCTGCCCAGAGAGTCCCACATTAACAAATTTTACGGGGACGGTGATCCAGCTTTAACCAACAGGTTCAGTGAAGAGGTCAAAGCGGCCTGGGCCTCGAG